ACCGCCCTTCCACGGAGGTGGAAGGGACAGTAGCCAACCCGGGAAGAACCAGCAGCAAACCCGGGGAGGGCCGAGCAGACGAAAGAACAGCGCAGGGTCCTGTGTCGTTCCTCCATGAAGACGGGGAGCGACAGGGTAGATAACAATGTTTACTCTATAAACAGATATATTCACTCTCTGTAAAGAAGTGTGTGTGTGTTTGTGTGCACATGTAGAAAATATCAGGAATGATACAAATCAATTTGTTAACAGGATTTAAATTTTGGGATAGGACCATCTGAGGGAAATGAATTAATATTTTTACTTATAAAAATTTTATTAGTTTATATTACTTTGATCACTTACATTTAAAAGGACTGCTTCAATCTGGGCAACTGGAAATAGAGCTAGGATTTTAAAAATGGAACCGTAGAAGACTGTGCTGGCATAGCCCGTTCCCAGCCCTGGCCCCAGGACCCTCATTCAGGTTCCAGTGGCAGGTTTGCCCCTTTGGGGGATTTGGAGGCATGGGGCTATCAAAGCCTGATGCCATCAAATATTTAAACCCCCCAGCTCCCCCAGCTCGCACTCTCAAAGCTGCCTTCACATCACGCATTGGCTTCCTGTGCACATTTTCCTACAGGGAGTGAACGCGCTGGACATGGCAATGTGTGGCTGCTGGGCCCCTTGGCAGTTCCATTTCTCATCATAAATTAATACATTGATTCTTTGGCTCAGATAACAGGATAGGAGCTGAGTTACTATGATTTACTTCTCAACCCTCAATATATAGGTCTCTCTCAGCGCTGTTGAAGTCAAGTTTATAAGCCAGACTATGATGAATTCACTAAGGTAAATGTCACCTCTGATGCCACTTGGCAGCTGGCCAGACACCTGCCCTGATGACACGCCTGTCTCTTCAAGCACATGGCTCCCAGAGTCCTGTGCTCCCGCTGCATTCATCTCAGCAACCTGCTCTTTCTTTATCCTTTTTTCCGTGTGATTCTCTTTCTAATTCTCTCTCTTCCTCCCGCACCACTTAACCTTCCTTTATTCCTTCCTTCCTTTTTCTTCTTCCATTTTCATCCTAATTAACCATGAACTTGTATAATAATATATAACAGAATTATAGGTTAAGTATCGTGTGAGGCCATTTGTAAAGATTATATTCTGATGTCATAGCAACTCTGAGGAGTGTTCTTGTGTCTGCTTCACAGAAGGATAGCAGTTGTATTTCATAATTGTAAAGATTTTCTCTGCTTAATTTTAGAAGTTGGAAAGTTAAATGTTTCACATTTCCTTTGTCTTAGAAAATTTCAGTTTAAAAGTTTGTTTGGGAGCTGGCACTGTGGCATAGCAGGTAAAACCACCGCCTCCAGTGCCAGCATCCCATATATGCATTGGTTCAAGTCCTGGCTGCTCCACTTCTGATCCAGCTCTCTGCTATGGCCTGGGAAAGCAGTAGAAGATGGCCCAAGTCTTTGGGCTCCTGGCTCCTTGCTTCATATTGGTCCAGCTCTAGCCATTGTGAACTAGTGGTTGGAAGACCTCTCTCTCTGTAACTCTGCTTCTCAAATAAACAAACCAATCTTAAAAAAAAAAAAAAGAATTGGGGCTGGCACTGTGGCATAGTGGGTAAAGCTGCTGCCTGTAGTCCCAGCATCCCATATGGGCACCGGTTCGAGTCCTGGCTGCTCCACTTCCAATCCAGCTCTCCGCTACAGCCTGAGAAAGCAGTAGAAGACTGCCCAAGTCCTTGGGCCCCTGCACCCGTGTGGGAGACCTGGAAGAAGCCCCTGGTTCCTGGCTTCGGATCGGCCCAGCTCTGGCCATTGTGGTCATCTGGGGAGTGAACCAGTGGATGGAAGACCTCTCTCTCCCTCTGCCTCTCTGTAACTCTGCCTTTCAAATAAATAAATAAACTTTTTTTTTTAAAAAAAGAATCTGCTTCAAGCATGTTTATTCCTTCTTTGGTCTGGAGAAGGGAAGATGTCACAGAGGAGGAAAGAGACAAGTTGAAGATGCTTCTTTGGGTAACAAAGCTCTCCATTGCTTTGTCTCTTGCTTCCTCTGCTGAGAGCAGGACGTGGCCCTGACTTCTCTGGTGCAGTTTTTGTCTCCTCCAGTGAGGATCCAGCCATTCTGAATTTAGTTTCTGCACCAATGGAAAGGGAAGGGGTCACATTTACAGCACCTAGATTTGTAATTTTCAGTAATTTAGAGGTGAAAGTTATGGTAAAGTGGAATTTTCTCCCTAAAAGACCACTTCTCACCAACAGGTGTGCCTCCCTACCATGACCCTGGAAGATAGAACGTAGACGTAGATCTTCAGTAGGAGTCTGGGAGGAGCAGAAGAGAAAACAGGAGTTGTCCGGTGTATTCCAAGCCCCTCCTCTCTTACTGCAGCTAGTGGAAGTTGCTTGGTTCCTGGAGACTCAAATCAAAGGATCTTGGCTATAGATGGAGAGGCAGGCAGTGAGCCTTGGGTGGAGGATTGGAGAACAGGAGCAGAGTGATCCCAGATCTAGCAAAGGTGGAAGGTTCAGATTGTGGTGGCTTCAGCACCACGAACAGAAATTCTAAAGCTGGAGTAAGGGCTGAGCTTTCAGCACCTCGGCCAGATGCCCCACCTGTACCTGCACCCCCACTGGCGCCTGGTCCCTGTGGCTATTCAGAGAGGAACCTCCTGGCCTTTGACTGCCCCCACCCCGGCCCTTGAAGGCTGTGATGAATGTTGCCGTGGTTTCCTTCTAAGGCATCCAGAATTTCTCCGCTGAGCAGTCTATTCTGCAGCCTTCTGGTAGAGTCCGCCTTGGAGCAACTCATTAAGATCTGGCTGATTTGCATATATCTGCATACACTAGGGCTTCTCCATTCGGGTTTTATTATAAATGAATTGTTCGGAGGAAGGAAGAGAAGTGCTAATTCACTCCCTTTCTTTCTCTTCTCTTCCCCATTCCTAGGGTTTCATTTTGGCAACCCCCCCCCAACAGCTGCCTGCAGGTGTATATGGCAGAAGAGGGAGTAAGCCAGACTCCCCAGAGCCAGGATTTGTAGGGCCACCCTGTGTGGCTTTCCCCAGACAATCTGCCCCCATCTGTTTGGCGTTTGAGAGATCCTTGCGCAGCTCCAAGGGAGTCTGCATTTAGTTTCAGCACCCAGGGTCAGGATCTCTGGGCTGAAGTCCCCGGAGCTCTGCTAAGGAGCCCATGACTGGCGCCTCAGAGACTGCTAAGAAGGCGGGGCCGGGTCGGGTTTTCCAGAGAAGGGTGAGGGGTGGTGGAGTGAGGACTCATTTCGAAATGAAAGGAGTCCTGGGTCTCTAAGCAGCTTCTAAAAATACCATTTCCCAGCGCTGGGGGAGGGGGAGGGGAAAGCCAGGCGTGAGGAGAATGAAGATGGGAAGGAGGTGGGGCTGTAAGAACCCTGCTGCAGGTAGATCAGATTTCAGGGGCCCCAGGGGCATCCCAGGATGGACAGAGGCCACACCCCCTTCTGCTTCCTCGGCGGGCTTCGGGCTGCCGGTGCTGAGCCCCAGCCCCACCTGGCGACCTTTCTCCCTGCAGCAAAGACCAATTCCTGACACCTACTTTTTATTGCTACCGTCCAGCAAGTGTGTGTGTGTGAGTGAGTGAACAAGTGTGGATGCACAAATACCCCGTGCATACACGCCCAGAGAAAGCGGCTTACAAATGGCCAGGTTTCTATCTTACACTTGGTCCTCAGAGACCCGTGCTGTGGCAGAGGTGGGATGCTTCGCCCCTTGGTATCCTCAGCTCAGAGCAGGGCACCCAAGAAGTGCTGGATGGAGGGGCAAAATGCGCCGACACTCAAACCACAGAGGAGATGCAGGACTCACACTCCTCCCTAGGCCTCCCCCTACCCCTTACCGCCTCCAAAGGTAAGTCCCCCAAAGAGCTCCGAAAAGCGACGAGCTGGGTGGAGCTTTCTCACCTCGAGTTCAGCCCAGATGGTGAAGCTCAGAGCCGCTGCCTCCCTCATCCCCGGGGCCCCAGCCCTTCCCACAACCACTGGTTAAACCTTCAGCTTGCACATAAATGACCTTCACTAAACGGAGGTCGTGCGCCACGTTTTCGTGCGGGTGAACTCCGCCTCTCTCGCAGAAGCCTCGGATTCCCAGCCGCTGCGCTCCTAGCCGGTCTCTGGGGCTGGGCAGAGTGGGGTGATCGAAGGGGAACCCCAGACGAGCAGACGGAGGATGGAGCTGGCTGTGGGGTGTGCAGCTCCTGTCTTGGCAGCAGGAGCAAAGACCGGAGGAGCCTTCGTTCAGGAAAATCTATCGGCGCCCGCGGCCCGGCGTCCTCCTGCTTTCCCAGCCTCGCGAGCGCGGCTGGTGGGGTGGGACCCCGTCTCCCACTTTGCTCCCGGTTCTCGAGCAGCTCCCGCGCCCGGCCGGCCCCTCCCTCCAGCCGCTGTGTGTGTCTGTGCGTGTGCACGCGTGTGTGTGTGTGTGTGTCTGTTGAGGGCGGGCAGAGAAAGGGGAGGATCGAGCCGCGAGACATCAGGAGCCAGAGACGCAGGAGGAGGCCAGGGGCTGGGAGGCGGAGGAGCTCTCCCCAAAGCTTGGGGGTCGCGACATCGGGTTCAGATGCAAGTCCTGGGGTTGAGGGAGCTTCCAGGCTATCTCCGAGGCTGTGAGTGTCGCTGCTGCCTGGAGGGTCGCCCCTCCGCAAGCCACGCCCACGTCGCCTACTTCTCAGGAGCCAGAGGCGGAGGGGTAGTGCCCTGGAACGCCGGAGCCAGCCGGTCCCCTGGGCCGCAGCCCCGCCGGCGCTCAGCGCTACCCCACCCCCACGGCTCGAAGATCTGCGGGACCCCTTCCTTTCCCTCTCCAGTTGGGTGTTCCGCCCCTGGCCTATGAAACTCCACCTCCCCAAGCTCTGTTGGCTGGGATTGGTGGGCCTCCCGCGGCGGTGCCTAGCGATTGGTCCCCATGGATGATGGTGACCGGCGAGACCCCGCCCCCAGTCGGGGCTGGGGTCTGGGGGCGCAGCTCCGCGGCGCTGGGCTGGCGCGGCTCGAGCCGCGGCCGCACTGACAGCTCCGTCTGCGGACCATGGAGACCGGTGCCGCTCCACACCCGCTGCGCCTGCTCGTCTGTCTGATGCCGCTCTGTCTCGCGCTGCTTTTGGGACCTGGGCGGCCTGGGACCGCCGAGGAAGGTGAGGAGACTAGTGGCTGGTCTCCGAACCTGGAGACCCCAAAAATAGGAGGCTGGGGTCTGAGGCGCTGCGGGGAAGGAGTCTTTGGAGAGACTGGCGTCTGTCTTAGGGTTCGAAGCAAGCGGGCAGTCTGGACAGACAGAGGAAGGTGGCTACCCAAATGGGAAGAGAGGGGCGTTGAGCAGCTCAGAGGCTGGAGACCTGAGGGGCTGGGAAGAAAGACCCAGAGCCTCAGAAGCCAGAGGCGGAGGTTCAGGGCCGGTGAGACGGACAGGCTGAATGATTGGAGGTGGGAGGTGTGGGGGCGGGGAGCGATGCGAGCAGAGCAGACCGGGAGATGCGGAGGTGATGCTGGAGTGTGGGATGCAGCTCGGATCGGAGAAGAGGGGGCGAAGCGCCGGCCGCGGAACTGTCCGCAGTGCTGAATTCGGAGAGCGTTCTACCTGGCGCGGTCCGCGCGGCAGGGCTGGGGACGGACGGCGACAGCAGAGCGTACGTCTAGCCTCCGATTCTGCATCCAGAGGAGCTGTGCGCTCAGCTGAATCCAGGGGCGTAATACCTAGGTGCAGACTCCCAAGGAGCCGGAATCTGAGACGCTGACTGCGGGGTGCGTCCGGCGCTGGATCGCGGTCGCCTCCCTCCGAGCGATGCCGAAGCCCTGTCGGTTGTGCGAACACGCGTACGTTGCCGCCGGTGCTGCCGGCTGCGGCTGACGCCACTGGAATCGGCCCCTCGGTGGAGGCCCTCACCTCGGCGGCCCACCGCCTGGCTTGAGCCCCACATGAGTAATCTGCCACTGCCTGGACTCCTGTGTGGGCTGCGTCCTTGCGGTCTGTCCACACGGGTGCTTCTCTGGGGCCAACGCCGCCAGAATGCAAGCTGCTGAACCCAAAGCTCCCGGGGAGTAAAATGACTCCCAGCTCCCCCGGTGTTGGAGGGGTCGTGGATCATACGTGAAAGCACCCCTGATGTTCTTGCAAAGGCAGAGGGGGTGGTAGCTCCTGGGAAAGGAACTGGCTGTGGAGATGGGAGATGTTTATTTCTCCTGCTGTTAGACCCTTCATTTTACCCAGAATCCAGGGGATTTTGACTGCAAAGACTCAAGCCTGAGGACCCCAGATTTCATAAGAGCCCCTGAGTCTGAGTGGATTCACAACTGAGAGCCAGGCTTAGTCTGCTTGTCGTGAACTTTGTGAAAGACTGAACAATTACACTCTCTGCCCTCCATAAATCTGTGTCCTAATCCCCAGAACCCGCAATTGTGACCTTAAAAAATTTATTTATTTGAAAGGCGGAGTTAGAGAGAGAAAGGGAGAAACAGAGAGAGATACCTTCCATCCTCTGGTTCAATGGTCTGGGCTGAGCTAGGCCAAAGCCAGGAACTCCATCCAGGTATCCCACATGGATGTCAGGGACCCAAGTACTTGGGCCACTTTCTGCTGTTTTCCCAGGCACATTAATAGGGAGCTAGATTGGAAGCAGAGTAACCAGGACTTGAACTAGTGCTCATATGGGATGCCCGCATTGCAGGTGGCAGCTTAACCCACTATGCCACAGTGCCAGCCCTGTGAATGCGACCTTAAGCAACAAAAGACACTTTGCAGGCATGGCTAAGAAGAGATTATCTCAGATTGTTTGGGTGGACCCTGTGTAACAACATGGTTCTTATGGGGGTGGGGGTGGGAGGAGCCAGAGGAAGACTGGGGGAGGGGGCCTTCAAGCCGAGGAACCTAAGCAGCCTCTGGAGGGTGAAGGTGAGGAAATAGGTTCTGCCTTCAGAGCCTGTAGAAGGAACCAGTCCTGCCGACACCCTGACTTTAGACAACTGAAACTGATTTGGGAACTCCAGATCTGCAAGGGAGAAGAGTTCTGTGTTAAGGGACTAGGTGTGTGGGAACTCATTACAGACAACACAGGCTTCTTGTGGTTCCAGCTCTGGATCTGTTTGTAGACTGGGGATTTGTAGACTGGGGAAACCCTGTCTGCATCTTCTACCACCTTCTCCATCCTCTCAGATCACACATTTCGAGTGAATTCCATTAAGGAGCCCACCCTGCTGCTCCTAGGGCCCTCTGGCTTCCTGACTTCTCTCTTCTGCCTCTCCTTAGTTGTCCTGCTCGATTCCAAAGCCTCTCAAGCTGAGCTGGGCTGGACCGCACTGCCAAGTAACGGGGTAAGTGTGAAACCATGTCCTTGTCCCCAGGACCCTCCGGGTATCCAGGGCTCAGTCCCTGTAGCTCCCAGGGCCACATCGGATTGCCTCAAAGTGTGTGGTCAGCAGTAGCCCTGGCATCACACCAGAGGGGCCTATTAGAAAACTGAGCCTTCATTCAAACAGACAGTTAAAAAGAAAAAGTGGAGAGAAAACTGGCCAAGTCTAGGAGCAAAAGTGGGACCTCTGGGAGTGGGTGTTTGGCCGAATGGTTAAGAGACCACCTGGGATATCCACATCCCATATCAGCTCTGCTCCCAGTTCCAGTTTCCTGCTAATGTGCACCCTGGGAAGCAGCAGGTGGTGGTGCCAGTACTTGGTCAATGCCATCCAGGGAGACTTGGATTGAGTTCTTGGCTCTTGGCTTCAGCCTGACCCGGACTCTGCCATTTCAAGCATTTGTGGGAGTGAACCAGCAGATGGGAGACCTTGATCTGTCCCCCCCTCTCTCTCAAATTTCAAGTATCTTCAATTAATTATTTTAAAAACAGAAATATGGCATCTGTATGGAGCTACTGATGGGCAGTCTCTGGCAGCCAGCAGATCCTCCAGGCAGAGTTGTTGGTTGATTGGTAGAGCAAACCACACTTGGAGTCCTGAAAGAAGTTTAGGAGTTTGGGTGGGTGTGGGGTGAGTTGGGTGTGACAGCAAGTTGCTGTAGCAGAGAGGGCACTGGGTGCAGCGTTAGGAAACTCTAGGCGCCATCCAGGCCCTGCCACCAAGTTGAGGCAGTACCCAGCCAAGTCGCCCTGCCTCTGGGGCCTGACTTTCCCCTGTAAAAAGGATTGGACTCACTTGTTTCCAAAGTCTCTCTCAGCTCTGCATTTTATAATTTCAGGAGTGTGCATGGTCAAGTAGGAGGGGGTGTGGGAGAGGGCAACAGGAGGGAGAAGGTGGTGTCCACCGGAGCCACGGCCAGTGCAGGACCTCCTGCGGGCCCCTTGGCTCTCAGCTGTCCTCCGCTTTACTCTGTCCCAGTGGGAGGAGATAAGCGGCGTGGACGAACACGACCGTCCCATCCGCACGTACCAAGTGTGCAACGTGCTGGAGCCCAACCAGGACAACTGGCTGCAGACCGGCTGGATCGGCCGCGGCCGCGGGCAGCGCATCTTCGTGGAGCTACAGTTCACGCTGCGAGACTGCAGCAGCATCCCCGGCGCCGCGGGCACCTGCAAGGAGACCTTCAACGTCTACTATCTGGAGAGCGAGGCCGACGCGGGCCGAGGGCGTCCCCGCCTCGGCGGCAGCCGGCCCCACAAGATCGACACGATCGCGGCGGACGAGAGCTTCACGCAGGGCGACCTGGGCGAGCGCAAGATGAAGCTGAACACAGAGGTGCGCGAGATCGGCCCGCTCAACGGGCGGGGTTTCCACCTGGCCTTCCAGGACGTGGGCGCATGCGTGGCACTGGTCTCGGTGCGCGTCTACTACAAGCAGTGCCGCGCTACCGTGCGGGGCCTGGCGGCGTTCCCGGCCACCGCGGCCGAGAGCGCCTTCTCCACGCTGGTGGAAGTGACCGGGACGTGCGTGGCACACTCGGAAGGGGAGCCCGGCAGCCCCCCACGCATGCACTGCGGCGCCGATGGCGAGTGGCTGGTGCCTGTGGGCCGCTGCAGCTGCAGTGCCGGATTCCAGGAGCGAGGCGACATCTGTGAAGGTATCCAGCCCTCTGGGGGTGCGGGGTGGGAGTCTAGCGTGCAGGTGGCAGTGAGGAGAGAGTGCCCTGGAGGGAAGAGACGGGAGAGGGAGTGCAAGCTCCTGGCTCTGGGGGCGGGGGTCCTGACCATTTGTGGTTTCCAGTGGGTTTCATGGAGAGGGATGAGTAACAGATTAGGGGGCCCTGGGGACCTGTATTTCAGACACTGTGGTGGGCACCTCGCACAGACCTGCTTGCTCACAGCACTATTCCTATTACACAGATGAGGAAACACAACCTCAGGAGGCAGATTGACACCTGAGTGAGCAAATGGGGAGCCAGGATGTGAAGCCAGGTTTGCCCAGCTCGCAAGGTCTTCTCAGGGTTCCATGCTGCCTCGCCTATGTGTAAGGAACTCTACTGCAGCCTGAGCTTCGGGCCAGTGGGACTTGTTGAATTCTAGGAAGTGAACTCCTGGTCGCTGATGATATGCAAGTCAGAGGCTGGCAGGGGATAGGAAGGGACTTGATTCTTGAGTTTGAGATTGGCAGGTGCACTGGACGGTTACTAAGATCTCACAGGACACTTGAACTGGAGCCACTGGAAGGAGCCTTGGTGTTGAGGGTTTGGCTGGGTTCTCTGGTCTGCGGGGGCGTGGGAACAGATCTTTCCTCCCTCCTTGTCTGTGGCTTTGGAGACTCAGAGGAAACATGTGGCTATGGATGTGTATACTTCATGTAGAGAGATCAAGTGACACATTTTCCAATGCCGGTCTTTTCTGGGTACCAGGGTGACAGAAATGAATCAGACTTGGCCCTCACTCTTGGGAAGCTCAGTCTAGACACAGAACATCTACAAATCACAGGCGAGTGAGATGTGTCATAACTGAGGGAGACCCAAAGAAGTGATGAGGAAGGGACTCTCTCTTCCTTTGTTCAGTCATCAATAGAAACTGAGAGCAAGCCAGCTGCATTCTCACTGGGGGCTTATCACATGTGTCCATGCATGCCCCATCTCTTCCTGGGGAAACTGTTGTTCAATAAGGGCCGGAGAAGCACGAGCCCTCCCAAACCCTCCAGATATGGCTGGGCTCCATCTCCACGCTCTAGCTGCAGCCCCTGTGCTGACCCCGTGGCATGCAGGGGTCTCCGTCTGTGTCTCCAGCTCTCCCTTGGAGCTTCTGGAGCTAAGGCACTGGGTCTTATAGTCTCAGTGGCCCCAGTGTCCGTAATAGCAATGGTAGACGGTAGGTGCTCAGTGCACATGTAGGAGGGAACGAGTGGTTGCTGTAGGGTGTGCTGTGCATCGACAGAGAGCTAAGGAAGCGTGGAGAAGGAATAACCCAATGCTGAGGAGGAAGAGGGCCTCCCCGAGAAGATGAGAAGGCCTTTTCCGCCAGGCAGCCGAGAGTGCTCTGAGCCTAGACCCTGTGTGCAGACGCACTGTGGCAGGGAGGACTCAGCCTGGTTGGGGCACAGGAAGTCAGGGGTGTGGCGCGGGGATGTGAGGAGTGAAGGGCTGGAGAGGAGCAGGGACACATCACACAGGGCCTTGAACATAGGGATAAAGAGCTTAGGCTCCATGCTTGAGGCCTTTGGGGAGGATTTGAAGCAGGGATCTGACATGTTCAGATTTGTATTTTCAAAAGACTCCTTGAGCTGCAGTTGCAAAGGCAGGATCGGAGAGGGAAGGATTAGAGGCCAGAAGACGAGAAAGGAAGAAGGTGCAACGGCCCAGGAGGAAGAGAGCAAGGTGTGAACTAAGGCAGTGGCAGGAACCACTGGGCGTGCGGCCATGACGCAGCACGACCCCTGAGGGCAGGGGCCAGGAGAAAGGAGGCTCCTTTGGCTGGGCTGAATGGGCAGAGAGAGCGTTCACTGGGGCACAGAACTCAGGGTGCGGTGTCACCATGAACCCTGTGGAGGTGGAGAGAAAGTGGTTCTGGAGCCTAGGAACACAGAGAAGCTGCTTGAAGCTGTGGGTGCGGCTGGGAGAGACCAGTGGGAATGAATGGGGCCGGAAGCCAGGGGACCAACAATGAAGACTCACAGAACAGCAGCAGAGAAAACAGAGCAGAGGGCGTGGTGAGGGGTTAGAGGAGAGCTAGGAAGGCGGAACATCATGACAGCAAGGGAGACAGAGACACCCAGGAGAGAACAGCTCACAGCGCGGGCGAGCAGGCCGGCAGGTGGAGGATGGAACGTGTCCTTGTGGTGGCCCTGGTGAGTGATGGAAAGAGCAGGTGCCGAGGGTGGAGGGAGCGAGGAGGTGGAGAGCTGGAGTCAGGCAATCCAGAGGACAGGTGTGAGGAGGAGGAGAGCACAGGAGGCTGAGAGAAGATTCTCCTGCAGGAGGCCAAGGCCCGTTTGTATGCCCTAGGGAAGGAGCCATGGGCTACCAGGTTGAGGGGGGCGTGGTCTGCCCCGGGGTGGGGGGAAGAACTATTTCATTATGGGTTGGAATTGCTGACGCATGTTGCTAATAAAAAGCAGGCCAACTTTTAGTCACTTTTATTATTTTTTCGCTTTTATTATTTTTAAAAATAATCTACCGTCAGTGCCTTATCAGCTGTGCCTGAAATAGGCCGCTTTTATAGCTCCGCCCCCTGAAGAGGCGCCAGAAAGAGCCAGCCGAGGCGGAGCAGCCCTGGGAACCAGCAGGAGAGATGACTGGATGACTGAGACAGTGTGGTCTTGAGGAGGGCAGGGGTGGGGACCCCGAGTGGAGATGCGGGTGCTGCCCCTACCTGGAGCTGGCTCCTGCCCTCCTGTGGGACTGCAGGGAGGGAGGAGGGGGATGGGTACAGATGGAGGTGTTTGTTGATATGATGGCCAGATGTGGAGGGACTCACCAACTGATGGCCTCTCTTCTCCCTGTGTGTGGGGGGGATGTCCATCTGTACAGTGCACAGGGAAGATGCTTGGGTTATTTGTTCGCTGCTGCGTATTTAGCTCCTAGTACAGCACCCGGCTCATGGTGGGTGATAAAGGATGCTCGCTGAACAGCTGGACAGGGGCTGCAGGAAGAGGCTTGGGTCCCCACTATGGGAAGACAGAGCAAACTCTCTCTCTCTCTCTCTCTCTCTCTCACACACACACACACACACTCGGGAACCCAACTCCACTTCTCAGTAGAGCCCAGCTCCTCCCCTCCCCTTGGGCTTAGAGTAGACTGTCACCAGGTGTTGCCACATTGCTCTGGCTTGCGGAGTAGGGAACTGGGGAGGCTATCAGGGAAAGCTTCATGAGGGAGGTGATTTTTGCTGTAGAGTTTGGAGAAGAATGGAAGCAGCCAGGAGAAAAGGGGGCAGGGGAAGACCCGGAGGCAACAGAGGCCTGGGTAGGGGTCCTGGCAGTGGGGAGCTGTTGGGGGTTTAGGAAGGGAAGTTCTCCCTGTTTTTCCCTCTGAAACTTGCCCCCCAGTTCCTAGCCCCTAGGGGGATTTGGGAAGGAAGTGAGGTTTCCCCTGGGGGAGGACTCCAGGCACCAAACTTGCACCTTCACCTCTCTTTGGGACTGCCCTGGAGCCAAGCAGAGATGTTCTCTGAGCTGGCCATGGAGACCCTGTGCAGGGCGGCACGAGGGGCACTGCAGACGGGGGGCTGCTGTGGGCAGCGAGTGAGGCGTTTTCCTGGACCGCGCCGTTCACAAAGGCAGCAGTCTTCGTTAGGAAGCATGTGAGCAAAGACTGTGGCCCCGGCTCGGGCAGCTGCTGGGGACGGACTTGCGGGTGGGCAGTGAACATGAGGACCTCTGAAATTCTGACCTTGACCCTGAGGAAGGGAGGGAGGGGCTGGCAGTCGGAAATCCCCTTCTGAGGCTGCTCTTCAACACAAGCCTCTTCTAAACAGAGCCTCTCCAAGCAGAGGGTGCCTCTGATGGACCTCCCATGGCCACGGCTGTGGTCCCCGGTGCACGTGTTCCGGGGAGCTGCCAGCACTCCTTCCCCACTGCTGGGAGACCCTGCGGCCAGGTCACCTCTCTGCGCCCTCGCCCCCTCTGAGTTCAGGCAGGGTTATTCCCATTCCTCTGAGGATTCCTGAGGCCAGAGAGGCAAGGAGGGGCCTCGTCCACACCCAGCCCCAGGCCTCCCGAGCCCCAGCCTCGGTCTGGCACCAGGCTTTGTGCAGAAGGCAAGAGACTTTCCCAGGCTCCTGGGCTGCTGAGACCCTCTCACCGGCACCCCAGCCCAGCGGCCCGTCTCAAGATGAGCCTTCCGGGCTCTGGAAGCCCTCAGCAGCCGCCTGCCTCCCCGGGAAGGTTGCTGAAGTCAGAGATTTTTTGCAAGAGGGTGTTGAACTGTTTTCCCTGCAGGTCTGTGGGGGAGGAACAGTAATTCTTGCAGTTCTTGTGTAAATGTAGTTGGTTGCTGGGCTAAGCGGTTTACAGGTTTTCTCTCTGTGAATCCTTCAGCAACCGTTTTGAGGTGGGTATTTTGCATACGGCTCAGAAAGGTCAACCCATTCGTCCAAGGCCACACAGCAAAGCCGTGGTGCAACCCAGGTTGAGACGTAAGCACTGTTAATAACCTGTTTCCTGGGTGGGACGGGGAAGGTGAGAGAAGCGACCTGAGTGAGTAGGTGTCCAGACTAGAACCGCCGTGACTCACAGTCCAGAGAGCTGTCGCCTCTTCTCCCTCCACCCGTCTCCACACCTGGCTGGCTCCACTTTCAGACTGGAACTGGGGCTGTGGGTTGGGGACCTACGATGCTATAACCCTGAGTGACAGGGTGTTGGGAGGATTGGCTTTGACAGCAATGAGTATGTGTGTGGGGGGGTGGGGGTTGGGGTGGGATGTGTGTGCCTGTGTCAGTCCCTGGGTCACACTGGCACAAGCCCTTGCAGGCTGGGCTCATTTTCATTAGCGCGGAAGGGCTGGGACTCAGGCTGGAATCTTAGCTGTGGGACACTGAGCAGCTCACTTAACCTCTCTGGGCCTTCATTTACTCATCTTACAAATGGGGATAAAGCGCAGACCTCACAGGTGGCTGTGAGGATTAAATGAGCTGGGGGAAGTAAGACATGGGCCCTGGGCACTGACCAGGGGCCCGGGGATGCCGGCCAGGGGTCCCGCGGGAGGAACGGAGCCCCTGACTCTGCCATCACCCGAGTGGGGGCAGGCAGGAAAGGGCGGGGGGAAGATGTGGAGGAGCCCACTCCTTACCCGTTCCTCCCGGCAGCCTGTCCCCCAGGGTTTTACAAGGTGTCCCCGCGGCGGCCGCTCTGCTCACCCTGCCCCGAGCACAGCCGGGCCCTGGAGAACGCCTCCACCTTCTGCGTGTGCCAGGACAGCTATGCGCGCTCGCCCACCGACCCGCCCTCGGCCTCCTGCACCCGTGAGTGCCCTCCTGGCTGCATGGTGCACGGTGGGGGGCCGTCGGGAAAGGCGCCAGGAGGGCAGGGGCCCTGCACTGCAGGGCCTGAGGGTGGACAAGGGGCCCGCGACCCTGAAGGCTGGGTTAGGGAGGGGACCCCGGGGTGGGCGAAGGGGACCGGGGCTGGGTTTGGGAGAACCAGGACGAGAGCGTCCAGACAGAGGGATAAGGCTGGGATTCTCGGGCCAGTGTACGCCCTCACCGCAGCCCACTGTCACCCTCCGTGCTTGGCCCCTGCGGCCTATCCCCGCCCCCTCGCTGACCTCCACCCGGACACCCCCCACTCTCCCACCCCGCCCCCCGCCGGCCGCCACGCCCCGCCCTCCGCCCGTCCACGCCGCTCCAACCACCCCCCAACCCCGACCGCGCCCGCTCTATGTCGCCGCAGGGCCGCCGTCGGCGCCGAGGGACCTGCAGTACAGCCTGAGCCGCTCGCCGCTGGCGCTGCGGCTGCGCTGGCTGCCGCCGGCCGACTCCGGCGGCCGCTCGGACGTCACGTACTCGCTGCTGTGCCTGCGCTGCGGCCGCGACGGCCCGGGGGGCGCGTGCGAGCCGTGCGGGCCGCGCGTGGCCTTCGTGCCGCGCCAGGCCGGACTGCGCGAGCGCGCGGCCACGCTGCTGCACCTGCGGCCCGGCGCGCGCTACACCGTGCGCGTGGCCGCGCTCAACGGCGTCTCGGGCCCAGCGGCCGCCGCGGGAGCCACCTACGCGCAGGTCACCGTCTCCACCGGGCCCGGGGGTAAGGCTGCCCTGCGCACCAAGGCCGAGCGGCACTGGCCCCTGCTGTGGCGCGCACTCCCCACCAACCAGGCCAGCCCCGCCCACCCCACCGCAGCCACCGCACAGCCACCCTCACTGACCGCAGGTGACCCTGGGGACGCCGGCCGAGGCCCAGCGTCCTGCCCAGCGCGCGGGCAACTCTCGCTGCGCCCTTTCCTCCTGACCACCTCACAGAAAGCGTCCTTCGTCCCCAGGCAACCCCACAGACGGCCTCGCCTCTGATTTCCCAGAGAAAACAAGGCCCAGGGTCCCTTAAGCTTTTGCCCTCGGTCTTCAGAAATGTCCGCAGGAGGCCGAATCGCTGCCCCTGTTTCTGGCTCAGAAAGCGGGGCCCCACCGCGTGTCCCCTGCCTCCATCCCTCAGCGCCCTCCAGGGCCACCCTCTTTCCTGGCCCCGGAGAGGGGCGGGGACGCAGTAGGCTCCGTGGTTTGCCGAGTCTGGGACTGAGATGCACCAGTGAGACCTGCAACCTTTTCTGCTATACTAGATTTTCCTTGCTCTTGGCTGGGGTACACTTTCTTTCTCTTTATTAAAAAAAAATTATTTATTTATTTGAAAGTGAGAGTTACATAGAGGAGAGGCAGAGAGAGAGAAAGGTCTTCCATCCAATGGTTCACTCCCAAATTGCCTCAATGGCCAGAGCTGCACCGATCCAAAGCCAGGAGCCAAGAGCTTCTTCTGGGTTTTCCATGCGGGTGCAGAAGCCCTAGGACTCAGGCCATCTTCTACTGCTTTCCCAGGCCATAGCAGAGAGCTGGATCGGAAGTGGAGCGGCTGGGACTTGAACCGGTGCCTATATGGAATTCCAGCACTGCAGGCGGCGCCTTTACCTACCACCATGCCACAGCGCCAGCCCCCCCCCCCCACTCCCGCCTCTGAGTGTACCTCTTGAGAACACCTCCAAGCCTTAGGTGGCATACCCATTTTCTGCTCCTCAAATCTTCCCACTTCCTTTTTCACCATTTTTAGTTTTTAATCCATTTTTTTCTCTGCCACCCAATTTGCCTGCTCTTCTGAAGCAACACTTCTGTTGTTCACTCTCTATTGCAATACAACATGAGCTATTATTGCATTTACATTTTTAAAAAGGAATGATTTATTTGAAAGGCAGAGTGAAAGAGAAAGAGAGCTCATCTTTTCATGCATTCACCCCCAAATAGCAGCAACAGTCAGTTCTAGGCCAAACAAAAACCAGGAAGCCAGGAACTCCACATGGGTCTCCCGCATGAGTGACAGGAGCCCGAGCACTTGGGCCATCTTCCACTGCCTTCCTCGACACACTAGCGGGGAGCTGGGTCGGAAGCAGAATGGCCAGGACTGGACCTGGTGCTCTGCCACGGCATGCCAGCACAGCAAGTGGTGGCTTAGCCTGGTGCACACAGCACCTGCCTCTGCATTTACATTTTTAAGACCCATATAGAAAAAGAGAAAGACAGCAGTCCCATTACACAGACGTAAACAGCGATTAATATCTTGGGGTCTACACCTTCAGGCTTTTTCTCCTGTCCGTGCCCATCCCAGCTTTCATCTGGCATGTCATTCCAGCAATCCTAACTGCTGTTTTGGCATCAACGGAGACTTCTTCTCTATCCATTTTATTAATAAAAATACTGAGCTTCCATGAGTGCTGCTCTGAGCTTGGCACTGTGCGATATGATTTCCTGCATTAATTTATTGAGATGGAACAGTGTTCATCCCCCAGATGATGACACTGAGTTTGGAGAGGCCTAGGGCTGCTTGTCTTTGATCGCAGTCTGTCTGCCCCCAAAGATTTGTGCTGTAGCCTGCCGTAGACCATTACTTGCTTCTGCTTTTGGCTGAATTTTTTTTTAATTTAAATCAGGAATAGATCTTAATTTTGTAAAATGCTGCTTAGACATTTTTCAAGATGATTACATGTTTTTTTTTCCTTTGACCTGTCAGTATGATGGATTCTATTAATGGATTGTTCAAAGTGAACTTGTTGCATTCCTGGACTCTGCCCCACTGGCTATGAGTAAATGCATATTATTCCTATAATAGTTTGCTGAATTCATTTGCTTATATTAGAAGATTGTTCCATCTGCATTTATAAGAGAGATTAGTCGAGTGTGTTTTGTGTTCCTTGTCAGAGTTTGGCACTGGGGTAATGCTGGCTTTGGAAAAGGCATTAGGGAGGCACTTCTTTCTCTGCTCTGGACCAGTTATTTTATTTATTTATTTTTTTATTTATTTGACAGGCAGAGTGGATAGTGAGAGAGAGAGACAGAGAGAAAGGTCTTCCTTTTTGCCGTTGGTTCACCCTCCAATGGCCGTCACGGCTGGCGCGCTGCGGCTGGCACACCGCGCTGATCCGATGGCATGAGCCAGGTGCTTCTCCTGGTCTCCCACGGGGTGCAGGGCCCAAGCACCTGGGCCATCCTCCACTGCACTCCCTGGCCACAGCAGAGAGCTGGCCTGGAAGAGGGGCAACTGGGACAGAACCCAGCGCCCCGACTGGGACTAGAACCCGGTGTGCCGGCGCCGCTAGGTGGAGGATTAGCCTATTGAGCCGTGGCGCCGGCCTCTGGACCGGTTATATATACCTGCACAATTCTCTGTGAGGGACCACTAGTGGAAAAATGGAATTAGAACGTAATTTTATTTTGGTACCCCCAAAAGGTGAAATCCCTGCATAGTTAAAATATGCATTTTCTATGAACTTTTAAAATTTTCATTTTAAAAGATTTATTTATTTGAAAGGCAGAGTTACAGAGAGGGAGAGAGAAAGAGAGAGAGAGAGAGAGAGAGAGAGAGAGAGAGAGAGATGAGAGATTGATTTTCCATCTGCTGGTTCATTCCCCAAATGGCTGCAATGACCAGGGCTGGACCAAGCCAAAACCAGGAGCCAGGAGCTTCATCCGGGCCTCCCACATGGGTGCAGGGGCTCAAGCACTTGGGCCATCTTCTGCTGCTTTCCCAAGCCCATTAGTAGGGAGCTAGATTGCTAGTGGAGCAGCTGGGACACGAACAAGTGCCCATATGGGATGTAGCATCGCAGGTGGAGGCTTATACTGCTATACCACAACACCAGCCCCTCCATAAACTTTTTGAATACCCTGATGTACATGAATTTCAGGTTTTTTTGCACCAAAATAAATTTATCTTCTAATTCTACTTTCCAATGAATTTTAATTTTTTTTTTCATATTTTTAAGTTTTAGGTTGATTTGAAAGGGAGAGGGAGAGAGAGAAAAAGAGGAAGAGAGAGAGAGAGAGAGAAAGAATAATCTTCCATCCACTGGTTCATTCCCCAAATGGCAGCAATAGCCAGGGCTGGGCCAGGGTGAAGCCAGGTCTCCCAGGTGGGTGGCAGGGACTCGAGTACTTGAGCCATCATCTGCTGCTTCCCAGACACAGTCAGAGGGAGCTGGGTCTGAAGCAGCGTAGGAGGGACTCCAGCTGGCGCCCTGAGATGAGCTGAGGGCGTCCCATGGGATGGCTTAACCCACAGCACCACAACGCTGGCCCCTCCACTAAGGTTGTAAGGTAACCTTGTGTCCATTCCATGGAGGCATGAAAAGCTGCCCGGGAAACTTCCTGGACCCTGTGTTTTCTTTGGTGATATTCTCAGTCTTTTCCTTTATTTCTTCTTGCATCAATTTTGATAAATTTGTGCTTTCCAGAAAAACCTTTGATTATCTTTTTCTACTTCAGTGTTAGAAATCTGTGCTTTAAAACCCTCCCCAGCCCCCGGAGTTGCTGCGGCATCTGTCTTCAAGTCATCGCTCATGGGCTGTCTCTTCTTCCTTAGTCACCTTTTCTTGCTTATGGTAAAGAATCAGCTCTCGAACCTGTCGGTTCCATGACTCTTTACTTCCTCACTTCTTTTGTGATTTTATCTGTGTTAATGCCACCTCCCTGCTTTTCTGAAGTCTTTCTGTAGTTGGGTTCAGTGCTTATTTATTTCTGTTTTAATCTTTTTCTATCCTAGAACCGAGCAACATGGAATTCCATGGAATAGAATAAGATGGGCAGGACAGAGGGGCTGTTTTTATGGACAGGGAAGGGCTGGGAAAAGCAGAAAACAAAAACCAGAAATCGGATTGGTTATTTCAGTCTTTCCTTGTCAGGCAAGGCCTGGGAGGCAGAACAGTAGGAGAGTAACTGATTGGCTGACGTCAGGCTACTTGGAGCTCCCTTTTTGTAAAGATTAGGGAATAAGCCGGCGCCGCGGCTCACTAGGCTAATCCTCCACCTTGCGGCGCTGGCACACCGGGTTCTAGTCCCGGTCGGGGCGCCGGATTCTGTCCCTGTTGCCCCTCTTCCAGGCCAGCTCTCTGCTGTGGCCCGGGAGTGCAGTGCAGTGGAGGATGGCCCAAGTACTTGAGCCCTGCACCCCATGGGAGACCAGGAGAAGCACCTGGCTCCTGCCATCGGATCAGCACGGTGCGCCGGCTGCAGTGCGCCGGCCGCGGCGGCCATTGGAGGGTGAACCAACGGCAAAGGAAGACCTTTCTCTCTGTTCTCTCTCACTGTCCACTCTGCCTGTCAAAAAAAAAAAAAAAAAAGATTAGGGAATAAAAGGACCAAAGCAGGGGAGCGTCATCGTCAAGGCCAAGAACACTGGCCTTGTCTCCTTCTCTCCTGATTCCTGGGAAGGGCAAATGAGAGCTTTGTTTCAATTTATCACATGGGTGACTCCATTTTTATTTTTAATCTGATCTATTGGAGCCTAGTAAACGAGTTTCACATAATTTAAATTTTTTAATAATTAATTTTTATTTGAAAGGCAGACACACACCACACATGCGCGCGCGCGTGCACGCAGTTCTTTTCATCTGTAGGCTGAACTCCTCCAATGCCTGCAACAGCCAGGGCTGGGCCAGACTGAATCTAGATCTCCTACCTGGCTGTGACTCAAGTACTTGGACCATCACTTGTTGCCTCCCAGGGTGTGCAATAGCAGGAATATGGGATCCGGAGCAGAACTGGGACTTG